GAGAGCTGCATTTAGATCCTTGCCATCATTTGGCACTGTAGACTCTCTGATAGGCTTCTTGCTTCTGTTATGCTCAGAGGAAATATATTAAAGTGGAATAAAGGAACACGTAAGAGAAATGAAACTATGGAAACTTTGGAGAGTGCTATGCATTCATATATTTCTTTTCATTTTTCAATGTTTTGTGATAAGAACCATTTATTGCAATTTTACACTTTCTGTCAAGTGATAAAAGAATGCTCAGAGAAATCATCACTTTTAAATCTGGGACAAGGAACAAAAGTAGTTATCAGTAGGGTTCTCTCTTGAGTTCAAAGCCAGAAACAAAGCTTTTGACCCTGTTGCAGGTATCAAATGATGCCTTTTGACTTCACCTTTAGTTAAAGGAAGGCTACTGTCCTGTGTTGGAAGGTGTCCCTAGCTATAAGAATGTTATCATAAAATGTGTCCTCACTACAGTATTAACAGAGGCACATTTTTCAATGTATCAAAACTAATCTGTTGCTGAAAAGCCTCAGAGAAAATGTCAATACAAAATTAAACATAATTCACACGTTATTAAGAAATATCAGGACAAAGTTCTGCATATTTAAGGTGATAACTTTCCATCTTAGGCACAGCTAATGCTCTTACATACTCTTACCTTCCCTAAACATTATACATTGCTTTCTCATTAATTTTAACTGATTACTGCCTACACATAGCTTTATACTTTGGATAGAATTATATAATATGAGTACATGCTTTGCTTTTCTGTAGAAGAGAATTAATGAATTTTATCTAATATATAACTGCATTAAAAAATCATTAATATTAACCTGATTTATCACCTTAATCTGTTTTAGTGGCCTTCAGAATTGGTCTCCTTCATTCAGTTGTGAAAAAGAGAGTATGACCTGTAAGCAGATGTAGGAGCAGCCTGAGACCTACATACAGCAGAAGGCCCTATTGTGCCATTTTTTTGTCAGAATGTTTGAAGAATAGTTAATATAAACAACAAAATACTCGGTCTTCAAGTCTCTGCTGGTTAAAGCTATGTTTAAATGCCATGTGACAATGTGCTCTCTTCATTTTCTGTTGATAAAAAGACGTCTGCTCTGCCTGTTTCATAGCTGATAATGTAACTCATTGTTCGTCTGAGATTTCTCGGACATAAACCCTGAACTCTGCAAAAGCTTTAATTAATACAGTTGTGTTTTAAAGGAAAATGAGGGTATTAATGTCTTTGAATATTAAAGTCCAACAATTAGATAATAAAATTTCTGCAGCAAAATTCTAAGCAATTTTGGTTTACTAAGAAACAAGCAGTTGAACCTTTATCTTGCTAATTTGAAAATTTTCACTTTTTTTTCATTTGACTGTGCATCCTGCCGAATTTAAAAACAAGTGCTCTTAGAAAGCACTGAGTCTTCTAAATCAATTTGTTTCTAGGAGCCAAGATGCCATTTAAGTTTGGTTTTGTTTCCTTCTGTGCCCTTGAAATGTAGTTTATTATAGAAATGTCTTGAAGTAAGACCTTAGCTGAAGTCTTTTTCTTTTTTTTTCTTTTTCAGCATAATTTGTCATCTTTCTCTGGCAAATTCTATTTGGTCAGCCTACCTGTGTTTGTGTATGTTATAGTATCAATCTGTGCATTGCTCTCCTCATACTCTTTAACCCATGAGACACCAGTGTTGGTCTATTTTTTCAATAAGGAAAGCTCATTGAAAAGACTTTAAACATTTTTAAAATATGTAAAAACGCACCAGTATCAATGATGTTCCAGAGGAAAAAGTCAGCCATATTCAGTTAGATTTTCCAAGGCTGTCTCAGCAAAGCAGTCTCGTATAAGGTAGCAATTCACACTCCAAGAGGCCACTAGGAGAAGCTGTTTCCAAAGTTGAGGGCTGGAAACAATCTACAGTCAACCCAGTGTCCATGATATTTAGTTCCCACTGGAACTGGAATACAATTTTGTATCATGTGCCATAGCACAGAAGTCTTAAACCTACAATGCATCAAGCAACCTCTGCAAATTATTGCAGGTTTTAAGACTTCTACACATCAAAATATTTCTAGAGGGTACTCCGAGTCTTAAAGGATTATATCAAGTGAGAAAAACTAGTCCATTCCCAAATGAAAATCTAAATCCACCACCTAATGAATCAGCTTTTCTAGAGTAACTGCTATCAGGCCAACAATCTTGCAAGATTGTCGCAATAAAAATTTGTTCTAAAATTTTGGTCAACCTTTGGTTTTGGTTTATTATGTAAGTGGTTTATGATCAAATTGCTATTTTCCACTTGAATTTACCAGATGTAGTTCATGAGGTATTTATTTCAAATCTCTTTTGATATTTAAGTCTGAGTGAATTAAACAATTTGAGTTGTTGACCAGAGACAACATTACATCTATGCCAGTTAGTCTGTGATCTAAGCAGACAAGACAGGCCAATCCAAATCCAATTGACGAAGTTCTCAAAAAATTGGAAACTAATATAAGTGAGAGAGAGAAGCCTCCTCAGGTTTTGAGTGTTCACTCTTTTACCTAGTTCTCTAATCCTAAAAACAGTTGCAGACAATAAAGACAAAAAAGAGTGTGGAGGAAAGGAAAATTCACTCTACTTTCTTGAGAAGATAATGTTAAAATGAAAACTCTTCTTAAGACAGTCCATCACTTTACTTGGCCAAGTTCTTGAAAGAGAGGTCCCAAGCTGCAATAAGAAAGCTCAACACAAGCTCTGAATTGAAAAAATCAAGTCCAAACCACTCTCCATAACATTTGGGATAGTAGGAAGCATACATTTGTTGTTGCTTCTAGTTGCAAAATAGTTCTTGCATAGTTTATGGATGACCTAAACCTTTGAAAACCAAATGACTGCTTGAGTCTGATTTTATTGGCAGGCACAGTAAGTTGTAAATAAAAAGAACCAGCTCAAAATAGTGCTATTTTATTTTATTCAATCTTTAAAGCAATTAAAGAAAAACTATCTGGAAGATTAAATGAGTGGGAATTTTGAAACTTTCTTTCTCTCATCTCAGAGTCAGATTCTTTTTTTCTGTGGCTTCTTTTTTTATCGGTAGTAGATATTCCCAAAAATACAAAAAATTATCACCAGTACAGTACATCTCAGAATTGTGATGCAATCATGCATTTTTATATTCTGCAACAAGAAGAAACAAAATTATGGTTCAGAGTTGGTGCTATTTTCTCAAAGCATGTTTTCAAGAGACATGTTTTTCAGTGCTATAGGTGGTACAGTTGTCTAACACCTTTTTGTGTGCTCCTTTTCTTCTGGGACGTCTGCTTCTATGCAAACATCCACTGAAAATATATTTAACAGTTCTAAATATTTTAGGTGTTGTCAGCAAGGTTCTTTATGGCAACACACTCAGTGAAGTGACAGGGCCCTGGTATGTAGTGATCCTAGCCTTAGTGCAGGTTGACAGATATGACATCCTACTGGCTCACCTTTTTCACTTACTGTTATCTGGACCCCTAGGTCTTTTTTGACATATATATGACATGCCTCAGCGAGGCTTAATATGACAGAACTATCTGCTTTATCACTCCAGAGTGAGATCTCTCCTGACAATGAAATCAGACAGTGCAATTTACTTAAATTTGAGCTCATTCCATCTGTCAGAAGGCTGAGGTAAAGTATCCTGGCATCCATCAAAAGCGAGAAGATAAGTTTTTTGCTCTTTCACATCAAATTTATACAGTGGTATATTAATGTGCCTAGTTACTCTTATCCCCACCATATCTGATTTTTTATTGTTGTCTTCACAATAATTTAAGGAATTCAGGCATTCCTTCCACCTTGACTTGACAGGTCACAAATATAAGTGATTTAAAGGGTAAGAGAATTGTTTGTGTCATGACCAGGTAGCAACTTATCCTTCCCAGATCTAAGTGTAGTGCAGAAAGTTAAACAATTTAGGAAGAAGATGTTCATAGAATCCTAGAATGATTCTTGAAACATTCACAGAGTCATGTCTTTCTTCATATCATTTTACTACCATTTTCTCAGTTTTAGAAATGCTGAGATACTTTTGGAGGCTCTGGAGAAGATAATTGGGCAGATCCACACTTAGTGTCAGGCTTGGAAACTCAGGTGGGGAGCAGTAACTGATTTATTGCAATGGAGATGGTAGTTGAGAAAGTAACAGGAAGTTTTCAAATATTGCTTTTTAAACTATGCTCTATGTGGGGAAGTTGTGACTGCATGGCAAAAATGCCATTTGGGAACTGTGTATTTAAGTTTTTTTAATTTTGTCATAATTTTAATATAAATACCTTAATAGCATATTTAGGCTAAGACTTTAGATGAAGCATGTGCTTAAAATACTTAATACAAGACTAGTTGTTAATTATTGGGACTTAAATTTGATGTTTGAAAAATACCAGTGCTTTTGTTTTTTCAAAGACTTTTGTGTTGCATCCTTAATGCGGTATTTGTAAGAAGTCTTGATTACATGATGCTATTTGTCTATATAGGGTGGAGAATCAAAATCTATGCTCAATATACAGGAGGATTCCTAGGTGTTGCCTGATATGGCTTTTCTCACTATAGTTTCCCTCCCACCTCTATTTTAAAATAACTTTCAACCATATTGTGCCTCTGGGAAAAAAAAATGGAAGATTCAAGGAGTTGAAATTTAGCAAGATTTGAGTTGTCCCCTCTACTGTGCCAATAGTGCTAATTTTCATGAGAAAGGATATTGTCTACCTTTTGGAATGATTTGGGAGAGATATAGACTATCTTGTGTTCATACTGGGATTAGGTAGAAATTCAGGACTTGAATGTAAAAGTTCAGCTCAAAAGGTAAATTGTTTGTCTAGTTGCAGTCTGTTCTTTAGCTGTGTTCACAAGGAACTGTTTATCCTTCGAGGCAATGGGGAAGGGGAAAGGTAAATTAGCACACAGATTAACTGAAAGCTTAAGAAATAAAGATCACTGTTCAAAGAGGAATCGGTGTGAAGAGATATCAACAATTATTAAATATTTGATATTACAGGCCAGATGGAATTGGAACAGTATCTGTTGAAGAGAAAGAAAGGTTTGAGGAAATTAAAGACAGACTTTCCTCCCTTTTAGAAAACCAAATAAGCCATTTCAGGTGAGTGTATAATTTATTCAATAAATGCTAAGTCTTTTCTGTAAGAATTTTCTCATGGTGTTCAATTTTGGTCTTGAATAAGTGGAGTGAAAATAAAATAGTCTGGCTTCAAAGAAATTTTGGATAGATTAAATATGGAATAATTTATTTACACAAGTGGTTGGGCTTAAAATTTAATTGTGTATCAAATGGGTTGTATTTTTCTATGGTAGAAAAGATTGCGCAAGAATATAGGCCTCATTTTTGTTGATGCTTTTAAACTTCAAGCTTTGTATAACTCTTAACAAAGAAAATTTAATAAAGGTCACTGAGCCATAACTATTTCTAGATCAGAAAAATCATATGAGTGAAGAACGTCTTTGATAGATGGCAGCTAAAACTTTTCCAGGTGTCTAATGTAATTTTCTTGGTTTGATGATACACTTATCGATCCTAAATCAGCTAAGGTCCATCATCGTCAATAAAGAGTTTGTCATATTAAGGGTTGTCAATACCAGTAGAAGATGTTTAGAGAAGGAGTACAAGAAACAGAGCAGGAAATTTTGCTATTTTGTAGCAATTGATGGTTTATGGAGCTTAGCATAAAAATGGCATGCAGACGACCAAACCTCTTTATCACACTAAGCCAAGCTCTTTGGCACTTTTCTGTCCATCTAATCCTTTTTAAAACTATATTTATAGAATCTTTTGTCTCTGTATCACCTTATGATGACTAGTTCCACGGTTTAAATAGTGCTGTGTGAAACAGCTTTCCTTTGGCATGGCTGGCTATAAGTGAGTTGAATGTCCCTCTGGCATGATGAGGTAAATGTCTAGTATACACTGGCATCATAGGTCGCTGGGAAATTTTTTGAGCATAGAGGACATATAGGAGTCTTCACCTGAGACTTCATACCGATATTAAACTAAAGAGAGCTAGGATTCTCCTTGGAGAGTATTCCTTTTGGAAAAAAAAATTCTTCCTTTCCTTTAAAAATTCTTCCATGACACATTTCCTGTTTCCTCTCCTCCATGGGAGTAAAGAGCTCTTGGCAAAGAAATGATACAGAGCAGCATAGGACAGAGCACTTCCCACCCAGTTCTGGGAAAGGCAGGAGGAGAGTCCAGACAAAGAACATCATCTGCAGGTGGAAGAAAAGCTTTTTTTCTGTAACAATCTCATGTTTAAAAAAAAAAGTGCTGGTAGCTGTGACCCAAAAAATATTGAAGCAGCCGAAGCATTCCAAATACGTACAGAGAGAGGAGGGAGATGGAGCAGCAAGAAGAGAGGCTGCACATCTCCAAAATAGATCTGACCTCCAGGCCTTCACATGCATGAGACTAATTACAAAGTGTGTAATAATGTCTAAATAATCTTTGGAGCGGGAACAAATAAAAACTCCCATCATGTCTGCTTGCCTACACATTAGAATATGTTGATGAGCTTGAGCTACATCAGTGACCATAGAATCTTTCTACCTCAGACTTGGTGGGCTTTGAGCAAATTCAGATAACATTAGAAACTCCTCCTTGAGAGCAATTAAATGTGTCATTCAAAGATAAATGCCTCTATCCTTCAGGTGTCTCTAAGGTTTGCCTTAAAGTCCTATTTAATCAATACAGGCAGTGCTCTGTCAGGTGAACAGCAATTACTGTATCTCTTTGTGAACAAATGTTAGAAATAAAAGAAAAATTGGTAGAATGTCTGGATTTAAATAAGGATACTGGCATAATAGTGGAAGAAGGAAGAATAGATAGTGCCCTAGAATATGAATTTATAAAACATATAAAGTCACAATATAGGTCATCCTGGTAAAGCATTAGCAATAGCATTTTAAATAAAACCTTGACTCAAGAAATGTAAAAAGATCACCTATATCAGTTCACAAAGAACAACCTTGGCTGTGAGATTGCTTTTTTAAGAAAGCATGGTATTAAAACAGCTCTGTATTTGTTGTGATAGCTGTGAAATGCAG